GTAACACTAATGGCGAGATACAACCAAGATCGGATGATAAGAGCAAATCATTTGTGACTCTGATGAGAGCGGTCTCAGTGCTATGGTACGGTCTAAATCCGGACTGGAAATCCTCGCAGATATCATTTCTTTCTAGAAAGGAACACAGTTGTGAGGATACTGCTTTTTCTAATATCTTTGACAGAAAAGGCAGATTCGAGATCGGCCTGTAATTTGTTATTTTGTTAATCTTTGACCTCTGGAAGCATCTCTTTCAATAGCTTAGTCGGTATAGGGTCTAACATACGTTTTGTTGATTTATTTAGATGATTTAACGAGTTTAGACAATTCTTCCTCTCCTATAGAAATGAATGAATGGAATTTTTTCCTCAGGGAGACTACAATGATGGGTTAGAGTTAGGGTTAGTTGATGTAATACTGTAGTAGACGGTTATAATTATTTACAATAATTATAATTTTTATAATTCAATTTATATAAATCAATCTTACAAGCAAAGAAGTTCACAAAGACACTACAGCTGTGCTGTTTGGAAACAGCTTCATTTCTCATTAATTTAGCCACTGTATCAAATAAATACCTAGAATTGTGTTTGTTTTCTTCTAAGAGGGTCGAAAAATAAGCAGATCTCTGGCCTTCAGGCTTTTCTGTATGCAATAGTGCTGTCTTTCCATGAAATGCGAAATACCTCTGGTTTTGTTTTCTTCCTGCTGCGCACCAAAATCAATCTCGAATCACAGCCAATCAGAAGAGCGCATGGGCGGAGTCTCCCTGCAAATGCACTACAAATTAATGTCAAATGACAGCCAATCAGAAGAGCGCATGGGCGGAGTCTCCCTGCAAATCAATGTCAAATCACAGCCAATCAGAAGAGCGCATGGGCGGAGTCTCCCTGCAAATCAATGTCAAATCACAGCCAATCAGAGGAGTGCATGGGCGGAGTCTCCCTGCAAATCAATGTCAAATAACAGCCAATCAGAAGAGTGTGTGGGCGGAGTCTCGCTGCAAATGCACTACAAATCAATGTCAAATCACAGCCAAACAGAAGAGCGTGTGGGCGGAGTCTCCCTGCAAATCAATGTCAAATAACAGCCAATCAGAAGAGTGTGTGGGCGGAGTCTCCCTGCAAATGCACTGCAAATCAATGTCAAATCACAGCCAATCAGAAGAGTGTGTGGGCGGACTCTCTCTGCAAGCGCACTATTTCTCTCTAATATAATCAATCTTACAAGCAAAGTAGTTCATAGTCACTTCTGCTGTGCTGTTTAGAAACAGCTTTATTTCTCATTAATTTAGCCACTGTATAAAATAAATACCTAGAGTCGAAAAATAAGCAGATATCTGTTTTTCCAAAATCACTCACAAATCACAGCCAATCAGAAGAGTGTGTGGGCGGAGTCTCTCTGCAGGCTCACTGCACTCACAACTAAACAGTTTGGCACATAATCAAATTAATAAATATTACACCATTTTAACATTATTAAAAATACACACTGAGTGACTGAAACAGTCTTTGTCATAGAATACACTTGGTTATTCACAATTCGAACATTCCTGTTTCCTTTCATTTATTTTCAAGGTCTGAGATGAATTATGCATCGTCAACAGCATGATCAACATGATCATCATCGTGTGTCATCATAGTAATCATGGTGAAGAGGTGCTGAGATATTCTCTTGCTAATTAAATGTTGCTTTATAAAGATTGACATCAGTGTCTAGGAAAGGGAAGTCATTTTTCCTCATTAGGATTCTTACCAAAAACGGTAACCATGGTACCCACAGTCTCCACCAAAATATCATAATTACAGAACGGTCGACCAAAAAGAAAGGAAGCATATCGCATTTAATTTGATGGTTTTGGCAGAGGCTGCGGTGATTCATTTAATAAGGTGTCATTTCAGCAGTGGTGTGGACAATATGAGGTGTAGCTTTCACGAGAGTTCAATCCATAAACGCCGGGGTTTGAAGTGTCTTTACATCCGTCACTGTGAGAGAGAAGACTCTTTGTGCTTCTGTCGTCTTTCCTCACCTCTTTCTCTCTGTATCTGTCTGTTTCTCACTGCGGGGAATGAGAATAAAGCAGCTGATGGAGGTTTCGGTCCCTATAAACGCTCATCAAATCTCTTTAGTGGAGACGTGACTGAAGGGCAGCTGACGAGATCTGAGCGACACAATCTCTGGAATGAAGTTTCTCTTCTTATGTGTTTGTAACTACGTGTCATTGAACTGAAGTGATGGCTGCTGAAAATGCAGAAATAAATGACATTTTACAATATATTCACATATAAAGCTGTTTAGAAGTAGAATTAATATTTCACGTTTTAAATGCAGCCTTGCTGAGCAGAAGAGACTTCTTTCAAAAACATTATAAAATCTTAATTATTCCAAACGTTTGTCCATTCGTGTACAGTAGTGTCTGGAGGAGATACAAGTTTGACTAAGCCATAATAATATAATATAATATTTTAAAATATTTTAAATTATGAGAGAAGCACTAACTTGTTTAAGGTATTTACTATATGACAAGCTACAGGTTTTATTTTACTATATGCACAAAAAATGCATAAAAAAAACTAAAAATATGCATTGACTACATCATAATTATTCCAAACGTTTGTCCATTAGTGTACAGTAGTGTCTGGAGGAGATTCAAGTTTTACTAAGCCATCATAATATAATATATAATATAATATTTTTTAAATATTTTAAATATGAGAGAAGCACTAAACTTGGTTAAGATATTTACTATTTACTGATATTTACTAAGCTACAGGTTTTATTTTACTTTATGCACAAAAAATGCATAAAAACAAACAAAAAATATGCATTAAATACAACATAATCGGTTCTCTCTTGTTTTTGCATGTGTTCTTCATTTTCATAATTTTCACAAATAAAACAATCGACTCGCAACTACGCAGTATGAATACAAAATCTGTAACAGATTCTCAGTTCTCATGGACCGGACGTCACTTTTGGCCTTACTGTACATTCACACGTTACACACATACAGTGATCGCGTGATTCACACACACACACGTGTTGTTGTGATATGCAGGATTCATCATCAGGATGCTCACACTGATTCAGCAGTGTCTCTGGGCTTCTGTACACATGATGATATGGTGAAATGATCTGTTGTGTGAGAGGTGTGTGTGTATACGGGTCTTTCCCCGGGTTCTCTCTCTCGCGCAGCGGGACTCGATGGCTCGATCCGCTCGCATGACGACAGCCGGCATTATGATGTTTCCCAGAGCCAAACTCTCCTGCAGTCTCTGAAATACCAGCATGCAACAGTCCTTCAGCACAGCCAACGGCTGACCTTTAACAACCGGTCTAATGTGTGTTGAAGCACGATCACAGGTGTTCCTTATGAATATTGAGCCGTGAAAAGCAGCCAGCGGGAGGTTAATGCGGTTTATTAATGTTTGGAATAAGAGATAAATGTGAACTTTATTAGATTGTTAAAGAGGCATTACACGGCAGAAACGTCGTTTTTTCCAGTATGAATATCTAGACATTTAAAAAAAAACATTTACTGGAGAAGCAATAATGTGTCAAAATGAAGTTAGTTTAGTCTTAAAACAAGAACACATATCTGCCAATGCAGTCAGAAAAATAATCATTAAACAAGACTTAATATCTTCAGTCATTTTGCTTCTTCTCCAGTAAATGTATCTTGATTTAAGAATGTTTAGATATTAGTGCTGGAAAACGAGACAGAAACATCATTTTTTGCACTTTATAAGCACTTTAAACGAAGCATCTTATTTTCACGGTTTTGTGTTTGTTGTTTTGGAGCGGGTGATTAGATCTGAGTTATCCTCTCCTCTCCTCTCTGATATTTGTTCTGGTTATCGCAGTTATCGGAGCCGGCGGGCAGGGTTGTATTGGAGGTTTCAGTCTTCTGTGAACCGCTGGGTCAAAGTGGATGTGATTACGGGCCGCTTCAGTCCGGATCTGTGTGGCGAAACACTATGAGAGCTCAAAGGCTTTCCTACACTTCAGGAAAACAACACTTCGATGAGACGCTCCGAAGGCCATTTCCACTCGATAATTCTGTTTGCTTGTTTCAGTCGGACAGCGGAATGACTTGATTGTCGCCTCTGGACTCTCACAGGATCCGCTTGACAGAATCAGAGCAGTTTGTAGAAGTCGCGCTGGGGCTCGTTTCAGTTTACCTGAACGCTGAAGAATAGATAGTAAACTTAGCAAAATAACGAGTTATTCAATCAATCCTACGACTGATCATATCGAATCAGTCTCCATGATTCAATGACTCATTTGTTTTGTTAGTGAATGAATCTTTTGAACAAAACAATGAATGAATGATTCAATGACTCCTGAACGAATCCGTTCATTTGAACGAATCGGTTGAATGAGTGATTCAATGACTCTCCTGAACGAATTTGTTCATTTGAATTAATCAGTTGAGTGTGTGATTCAATGACTCTTCTGAACAAATCTGTTCATTTGAACGAATCAGTTGAGTGTGTGATTCAATGACTCTCCTGAACCAATCGGTTGAATGAATGATTCAATGACTCACTTGCATGTTTTTGCCCTGATTGAGACTGATTCATTCATTTGATATCTACTCATATGAGCTCAGCACAAATTTTGAGAAAAATGTATTTTTATTTATTACATTTTATTTAATATTATATAATATATAAATATGTATGTCTCAGAATTTCCAGTAAAATGAACTCTATAGTGAAATATGCAGTGATATCAGATTTTCATTTGGTGCTGCTTCAGTCCACACAGTGTTTTGACCTTTCTCTCTGTCTCACATCACACACACACTCTTGATTATCATTTAATGAGCTTTTAATGCAGATTGTGTGTTGGTGGAGGATCTCTGACCCGTGGCATTTTGTGCCGGTTGAAGCGAACGGGTTATTAATATCAGACGCGAGTCTATAATGATGTATGTTGATGTCATTAACGCGGTCTCGCTAACTCTCTCGTGTGTGTGTGTGTGTGTGTGTGTGCAGGTGTGCATCGTGCAGAAGCGGGACACAGAGAAGATGTACGCCATGAAGTACATGAACAAGCAGCAGTGCATCGAGCGCGACGAGGTCCGCAACGTCTTCCGAGAGCTGGAGATCCTGCAGGAGATCGAACATGTGTTCTTAGTGAACCTCTGGTGACTATCCTGCGCTTCCTCTGCTTCTGTCATGTGACTATCCTATCCTGTTTTTTAAGGCGAGACACCGCAGAAAAAATAAGTAAACAAATAAACATCACCATGTTTCCCTAGTTTATTGAGTGCATCAAGATAAGGCTATAAAAGGGTTCGTACAAGCTTGAAGTGCTTGAATTTGACTCTTTGAAAGGTAAGTCCTTGAAAACCCTTGAAACAGCCATATTTATGAAAAGGTATTTGAAAAGTGCTTGAATTATTGAAAGACATTATATGTGAAATTAGTGTTTAATTTGATCGATAGGCAAGGCAAGGCAAGTTTATTTATATAGCACATTTCATACACAATGGCAATTCAAAGTGCTTTACATAGAAGAAATTAAAGTAATCAAAACAAATAAGAATAATTAAAACAGTTTAGAATAAAAAATCAAATAAAGTAGTACTGGTCCACCCCCGATAAAGAAATCTTTTCACACAAAATCAACAAAGCAGCCCGTCTGATAGATAGAGAGGCATTTCACATGAGTATGAGTGTGATATTCCTCATATCCAAGTATATGATACAGCTTTTATTCTTCAGCTCAATCATATATTCATACGGGGAATAATCAGCTTGAATAAGGAAAGCGATATCTCCATCATAGTGTCCTATTAATGATTAAAGTTACGGCAGTCATTGCATCCGCTGCACTTTTTTTATTTTAATATTTATTTATTTATAATTTATTTATTTATTTATTTTTATTTACCTTTTTTAAAATTGTAAATATAATAAAGATATTGTTTGATAAGTGAGATCTCAGATTGTCGTCCTGCTTGAAAGTCCTGGAATTTCATCTTATAGTATCTGTCCGAACCCAGTAAACACTTAAATGTGTATTTTGGATGTTTTCTTTCTGTGTCTTGCCTTAAATCTTAGTTTTTCTTAATATATACTGTATGTGGAACTGAAGTAGGATAATGTGATTACCGGCGTACAGCAGCAAACACACATCTTTCCTGATTATATTTGTGACCTCAGGGGAAATGAATGAATATGCTGCATAACCCTCTTAATCTGTTTAATGCGGCAGTTCAAGCTGAAATAACTTCATCCGCGTAATCCAACATACCTGATTGTTCGACGTCACAGGAACGGAGATTTGTGCGAGTGTGTAGTTGTGTAACTGAAGAAGAGCATCATCATTAACATCTTCCTCTTTATATGGTCAGGTCGTCTTTAAGGCTGTTTCCATAGAAACGCTTCATCACTTCCTGTCCTTCTGTGACTCTGTGCCTAATCTAATCCAGTCTTCTGTGTGTGTGTGTGTGTGTGTGTGTGTTTCATGCTTTATTTAATGATAATGTGCGTGTTAACGTGCTCTCAGTAGTACAGGCCTCATCTTTATGTATTACCGGTGAGTGTTCATGGGGAAAATATGAAGATGCGGCGTATGATCTGATTTTTATCAATTAAACTTCATCTCTCGTCTCAATCACGTCCGTTTCCAAGCAAACGTCTACATGTGCAGATCTCAGCGCTGTCGACTGTTTTGGTTGTATGTTTTGTTTAGGGATGTTTTTATATGCCGTTTATCTGAAATAGATTATCTGAGTTTATATCTAAAGTCCGAATTGCAAGTTATAAACTCATATTTTTATTTTAGTTTATTATATATTGTATTGTATTATATTATATTAATTATATTGTATTGTTTTTAGGAATTGCACTTAGACATTATCTTGTGTTTTTAGTGAAATATCTCGGTATGAACTGAATGTAACAACTCTGTTTGTGGACAGAAACTGCAGAAAGGATCGTGTAAAATGAGGGACACTGTGATCAGTTTCTGTCAGTAAGTGGAATTCCTGTAGATCATGGCACTCGCAACGCCACGGTCACGGGTTCGACTCCCAGGCAATGCGTGAACTGATCAAGTGTACACATGAATGCAGTGTTAGTCGCTTTGGATAAAAGCATCTGCATAAATGTGAATTCTGTAAAAAGTAATTATGATAAAGATGATTTTCAGGAAGTGTTTTATCTGAGCGAGAGAATGCTTTACCAGATAATCGTTGTCAATCATCAATCATCCCCGAGCTTCCCAGTGGGAAATACGATTTGAGAGGGCGTTCATGTCCAATTTCCAACTAGGAATTTCCAACTAGGAAACTAATATTAGGAAACTACAAATAGGAATATCCGACTAGGAAACTACAACTAGGAATTTCCAGCTAAGAAACTACAAGTTTTTCCAGCTAGGAAACTACAACTAGGAATTTCCAGCTAAGAAACTACAAGTTTTTCCAGCTAGGAAACTACAAGTTTTTCCAGCTAGGAAACTAAAACTAGGAATTTCCAGCTAAGAAACTACAAGTAGGAATTTCCAGCTAGGAAACTACAACTATGAATTTCCAGCTAGGAAACAACAACTATGAATTTCCGACTAGGAAACTACAACTAGGAATTTCCAGCTAAGAAACTACAACTATGAATTTCCGACTAGGAAACTACAACTAGGATTTTCCAGCTAGGAAACTACAACTAGGAATTTCCAACTAGGAAACTAATATTAGGAAACTACAAATAGGAATAGCCGACTAGGAAACTACAACTAGGAATATCAGACTAGGAAACTACAACTAGGAATTTCCAGCTAAGAAACTACAACTAGGAATTTCCAGCTAAGAAACTACAAATTTTTCTAGCTAGGAAACTACAACTAGGAATTTCCAGCTAAGAAACTACAAGTAGGAATTTCCAGCTAGGAAACTACAACTATGAATTTCCAGCTAGGAAACTACAACTATGAATTTCCGACTAGGAAACTACAACTAGGAATTTCCAGCTAAGAAACTACAACTAGGAATTTCCAGCTAAGAAACTACAAGTAGGAATTTCCAGCTAGGAAACTACAACTATGAATTTCCAGCTAGGAAACTACAACTAGGATTTTCCAGCTAGGAAACTACAACTAGGAATTTCCAACTAGGAAACTAATATTAGGAAACTACAAATAGGAATAGCCGACTTGGAAACTACAACTAGGAATATCAGACTAGGAAACTACAACTAGGAATTTCCAGCTAAGAAACTACAAGTATTTCCAGCTAGGAAACTACAACTATGAATTTCCAGCTAGGAAACTACAACTATGAATTTCCGACTAGGAAACTACAACTAGGAATTTCCAGCTAGGAAACTACAACTAGGATTTTCCAGCTAGGAAACTACAACTAGGAATTTCCAGCTAAGAAACTACAAGTAGGAATTTCCAGCTAAGAAACTACAAGTAGGAATTTCCAGCTAAGAAACTACAAGTAGGATTTTCCAGCAAGGAAACTACAACTAGGAATTTCCAGCTAGGAAACTACAACTAGGAATTTCCAGCTAGGAAACTACAACTAGGAATATCCGACTAGGAAACTACAACTAGGAATTTCCAGCTAAGAAACTACAACTAGGAATATCCGACTAGGAAACTACAACTAGGAATATCCGACTAAGAAACTACAACTAGGAATATCCGACTAGAAAACTACAACTAGGAATTTCCAGCTAGGAAACTACAACTAGGAATATCCGACTAGGAAACTACAACTAGGAATTTCCAGCTAGGAAACTACAACTAGGAATATCCGACTAGGAAACTACAACTAGGAATTTCCAGCTAAGAAACTACAACTAGGATTTTCCAGCTAGGAAACTACAACTAGGAATATCCGACTAGGAAACTACAACTGGGAATTTCCAGCTAAGAAACTACAACTAGGATTTTCCAGCTAGGAAACTACAACTAGGAATATCCGACTAGGAAACTACAACTAGGAAATTCCAGCTAAGAAACTACAACTAGGATTTTCCAGCTAGGAAACTACAACTAGGAATATCCGACTAGGAAACTACAACTAGGAATTTCCAGCTAGGAAACTACAACTAGGAATATCCGACTAGGAAACTACAACTAGGAATTTCCAGCTAGGAAACTACAACTAGGAATATCCGACTAGGAAACTACAACTAGGATTTTCCAGCTAGGAAACTACAACTAGGAATATCCGACTGGAAACTACAACTAGGAATTTCCAGCTAGGAAACTACAATTAGGAATATCCGACTAGGAAACTACAACTAGGAATTGCCCGCTAAGAAACTACAACTAGGAATTTCCAGCTAGGAAACTACAACTAGGATTTTTCAGCTAGGAAACTACAACTAGGATTTTTCAGCTAGGAAACAACAACTAGGAATATCCGACTAGGAAACTACAACTAGGAATTTCCACCTAGGAATTTTCAATAGCTGGGTTTCAGTCACGTGATTATGATGACGCGCGGAATTCAGATGGAGGGCAGGGAGTGAAGAGCGCAATGGACGAGATGGAGGAAAGTCCGCACTGTACTACTTTACACGCTATTACAAGAGAAAGATGTAAACAAAAAATCAAACATATGTTGGACGTGATCCTTACGTTATGAAGAGGAGCGATTTTCAACTGAATTGAAAGATTTTCCTGCCATCGAGGTGGTAGATATCAGCAACTACCTCGTCTTACAGACATACTTGGACTTTACAAAGTTCGTAAATGTTACACGTTACACAAACATAGCCACTTAAGTTGTATTAACTCACCATTGACGAAGTGATCACTGCACAAACGGGCATTTTCCCATTCGGCTCCTCCCGACCGCAGACGTAGGTTTGCTAGCCGTTTTTCCGGAGTTTTTCGGTCAATTTCTTGCATTTTCCCCCTTTATGAACAACAACTTTTGGTACACGATAAAAACTCCTCGTGGTTTGATCGATTTAAGTAACCATAAACGACGCAAAACATAGGCATTTTGAGTTTGTTATAGTGCTTTCTAAATACAGCAAATCACTTCCTGCCCTCCATTTGCATTTTGCGCCATGGCAACGCAGTGGCGTGACGTCATATGAAAACAAGCTATTAGGAATTTTCGACTAGGAACATACCTGGAGGAGAAAAACCTCTTTGAATGACTCCTGATCGGCAGTCTAA